TGCGCACGCGATATGTTCCGTATTTGATCATTTTTAACGGTGTTGGAGAAATCTGAAGGTGGTGAGTCATTCTGGCAGATTGTAATTAACACCTGTCTCATGCAGGTGTTCTGACATTGTAAACCTCACACACAGAACATTGTGGATGTAGCAAAATAACAAGAAATGATTCCCATTCAGGATATTAACAGCGCGCTGAAGATCTGAAGTTCAGAGTGCGTCTGTCAGAGGTCAGACGCGTTCCGGCTGAACCACGGCTCACGGGTGCACAAGTGAGCACATCTGGGCTGGGCAGAAGTCATTTTACAACATTGGTTTAAATAACGTGAGACGCGGTGACTTGAGCGGCTGTGCCGCGTGCGCGCGCGCACACACACGCACACAGATTCAATAAGCGCACACGCTGCTTTAACTCCGGCCGCCGTCAGACTGAAGGCAGAAATGAACGCTGCCTCCACCGTGATAAAAACTTTTAAGAGGTTATTTTTCATTCAAGGTCAAATTAAGATATTAGCTTCTGGGATGAGTCGGGTCCGCTCCAGCCAGTGACTCCTCATGAACCTGACTACAACTCACGTTACTGCAGCACTTATTCCAGTCAGCGTGGCAGCGGATCGCAGATTCAGCCACACCATAAAACAGCAATAAGTCGGTCTGAGGTAAAAGTGAACATCATGGCTATATCTTGTCCCCTATTGACATTTGATTACGCACAAGTAGGTGATCAGTTCAGGTTTACGCAGAGCAGAAGGAAGGAGAGCGCTCTGGCCGCACAGGTTAAACGTTCCTACTTTAAGAAAACCATTAAATTGCATTGTTTATGTGCTACCTGGGCACTCTAAATATTTATTTAAAATGAAATCAAAGGAAATTGTAATGGTATCGAATGTTTATTAATTACTATTTAAAAAATGAAAGTGATGGGGATTTTTTTTAACCCTCTCTGTTTAGCTTGACATCTGATATATATATAGCCATGCGCCGATGTGGGGGCGGGGGGGGGGGGGGGGGGGGTGGGTCGACATGGTCGGGACATAGAAGGGGGTGCGCGGCTAAATAAGTTTGGGAACCACTGGCGTAGAGGAAATTCTGCGGTGTTTCTTCAGAGACGTGATCCTTCTGTTCCACTTCAGCAAATCGCAGTTTGTTTGGTGACTTCTACTGCTATCCTCTCCCACTGAGTTACAACCAGTCATCACGAGTTACCCACAAGTCCCCACCAGCGAGTCTACTGGGCCATGTCCAAATACATACCCCAGTTCAGGTACTCGTATGGTTCCAGAAGTGGTCCAGAAAGTGGTCCAGCTTACCTGGAAGTTCCTATAGAGGAAATGGGCTCAACATGTCGCATCCTGTTGGGAAGAGTGTGTGAGCTCACATGGATACTGACCCAAAGCCGTAAGGATGCAGGCGTTAATTAAAAATGGGTACACTGGTCTTCTGACAGGACTGCACGGTGGAACAGTTGGTTACGATGTTTCCTCAGAGAGGACGGTTGCTGGTTTGAATCCTGGCTTCAGCCTTTCCATGTGAGGTTGATGTGTCCCAATGCATTTGTGGGTTTTGTCTGGGTACTCTGGTTTCCTCCAATAGAGCACCGGACATCACGTAACTCTCAGAGAGTAGACGCCATGTTGGCAGGCAAGAAATGTAAACAAAATGAACGGGATCGGCTTGGATTTGACTCCGTCGGAGTTTATTTCACACTTTAAAACCGAAGAAATCGTTTTATATAGTCAGAAATTAAATAGACTAAACATCTCCGACCCTTACCGTGCCCCTGGGATACTTTTTAAAAACGCCAGAAGCTGTCGGAGCGGACTTCTTACCGGATTTGAGATGCCCTGACATTTATAATTTATAAAACTAATCAAACAAAAACACAAATAACAGATTTACAAAGAAGTTTAAATAGAGTGCTGTGCTGTTGGAATGTATAAACTGAACGCCAAGAGAAATCACTAGTCTGATTTTTTTCCGTGAATAAAATAAATATGTCAGGCAGGAGCGTCTCAGGATCTGTCTGAGATCTGTCTCAGTGAGACAGATAATAGCAATCCAAAGTGCTTTTAAAGTGTCATCTGACAATTGATCAACCATTGCTTAAAAATTAAATACAGCTTAGCCGGTTATTTGCTGTGGTCATAAAACACGTAGACGGCAGCACGCAGAACTCACGAGGCCACGTTTTACGTGACGTTTACTTGTTGCTATGAGTAATAAGACAGAAAAAGCCCCGCCAAAATAAGTTTAGGAAGCCCACTAAGAATCGTAATAAAAGCATTCAAAATAAATACCATACACAGTTGAGGAAACGTTGGTTTAAGTACCTGATATGAAGCGGTCGCTGCATAAGCGAAAACCTTTACTCTCGGGATCCCACAGCTTCATTTTAGCAATCAATCAATCAATGCTTTATTTATAAAGCGCCTTCCGCAACCCTGTCAGGAAGCCCAAGGCGCTGCGGAAGGCCTTAGCCGGTCACTAGCGCATTTTACTGCAATGATCCAACGTTTGCGGCACTCCGGATCTTGGGGAATCCTGTAGATGGCTCATTCCATGTCGTCCGCGTCTGTTCTGCATCCTGGGGCACAACAGGAATCTACCATATTTCCTGTCTGATTGAGTTTTCTGACAATAACAAATAGTCCAGCTGCCGGCTTCTGCCTGCCAAGATGGCGCCGTTTTGATTTGAACTGTTGCATGCCGGGAGAAGTGACGTCAAATCCCGGAGCTCTATAGACTACAAACGTGTGTGTCAGCTTGACTGGACTCTCTAAATTGTCCCTAGAGGTGTGATTGAGTATGTGACTGGTTGTGTGTCCCTGTGATGGACTGGAGACATGTCCAGGATGTCCCCTGCTTCTCTGGAGAGGTATTCCATCTTGTTGTGACCTTCCTTATAATGAGTGAGACTTCCTGACTTCCTGTTGGGTCTTGCATGTAGGATCACCTGGTGTGCTTCCTGCCGGGAACTCTGGCTCTGGGGGCCCATAACGGCCTCCCGGGGGACCACATGGACCTGGCTGTGCAGCTGATGGAGACGTGTCATCAGATGTACCAACAGATGGAGACGGGTCTGAGTCCAGAGATCGCTCACTTCAGCCTGCACGCCGGCGAAGGACAGGATGTTGTTGTCAAGGTCAGATGTGGTTTTCTGTTCCGTCGTTCTTTGTCCTGTTAACCCATTCACCCTTTTCTCCTTTTGCACTTCAGTTTTATTTTTAATAATTTTCATTCATAGTTTTATTTCTCATTTTAACTCATTTAAATTAGTTATTATTTTTTTCTAAGCGCAGTGGTGCAGTGGTTAGAGCTGTTGTCTTGTAGCAAGAAGGTCCTGGGTTCGATTCCCGGCCTGGGATCTTTCTGCATGGAGTTTGCATGTTCTCCCTGTGCATGCGTGGGTTCTCTCCGGGTTCTCCGGCTTCCTCCCACAGTCCAAACACATGACTGTTAGGTTGATTGGTCTGTCTAAATTGTCCTTAGGTGTGTGTGTGTGTGTGTGTGTGTGTGTGTGTGTGTGTGTGTGTGTGTGTGTGTGTGTGTGTGTTGCCCTGCGATGGACTGGCTCTCTGTCCAGGGTGTACTCTGCCTGATTGCCCGTTGACTGCTGGAGATAGGCACCAGCCCCCCCCCCCCCCCCCCCCCCCCCCCGAACCTGCGTGGACAGAGCGGGTTCAGAAGATGGTTGGATGGATTGTCTTTTGCAGCAGCTTCATCTTTTGTTCCTCTTCATTCTTGCTTTCAGTCATTTTTTGGTTGTGTGTTTTTGTTCTTTTCATACTCGCTGACCTACCAATTTTCTTTAATTTCTTTCAATTTAATTGATTTTCCTTAGTTTTTCTTTTTCTTTCAGTTTTAACTTCTAATTCTTTAAGATTCCTTTCCTTGTTGGTGCTGATAAATCCTTCCCTCTTATGCCTTCTTCATATTTTCTATTTTCTTTCTATCCATCTTTGTTTAGATCTATTTTTGATCTATAATTCTTTATTATAGCTTCTGCAGAACCACTTTTTGGTTAATTTATGAATCAGAACAGACACAAATTGATTATTAAGTTAGATTATTGTTAAGGGACCTGCTGCTCTGCCAGCAGGACTATTATTGTTCTTCATCAGAGGATTCATTCTCTTTATTATTCTTCCACAAACATTAATGCGGCTCGAACGGCAGCGCGCACCCCCACAGACTATACATCAAAATGAGCGGATCGGCCGTGGGAGGTGTGCTATTACTTTTATAAGTGTTTTGATTTACAACGGCTAAATCATTAGCAAAGAAATCTTTAAAAATTATTTTTTTGACACTTTGCCACTCTACATTTGCATAAAATTAGCATAATTAACAATTAAATATACATATATTTATTATTAGATTGCAGACCCTCTAAAGAGGCATTTTTACACATGCATGAACACTATCTTGTGCCAGGTGGCAGGTCCCTTTTTAAATTTTCTTCAGGAATTTTCTAGTTGTTGTTATAAAAACACAGAAGTTTAAAGTGACAGTGTGTATTTTTCCTGGCATTGTGGGGGCAGTAGATGCCTACATCGTTGCAAGCAAGCTATATTTTTGTGTTGGAGTAAGACCTTACCAATGGATGCCCATTAGGGTCAAAAAGGTCCTGGGAGTGCAAACTTCAGCTAAATGACAAACACATTAGACTCCCTTTCGTCACTGGCAATGAGTAAAGAGGTAAATGTGTAAAACAACTACGTTTATTAATGGTGAAAGTTTATAACCGTTTTGTGTTTTGTCCTCAAGGGCTCCCGTAGAAGGAAACATTGCATCTAATATGGCGTCGCTCAGAGACTTGGATCCAGTCCCATGTATTTTAGGCCTGATTTTCATGGTTTTATGTTACGAAGCTGCCAATATTTTTCTACAACTGGGCATCTTTTCATTAATTTTCAACCACATTTTGATGGCTATTTCCAGAGATTAACAATAAAAACTACACATTGTCACTTTAAAATCTCTTTCAAGAGAGCTGGTCTGAGATGGCACCAGACATTTAGACGTGACAACGGGAACAAAACATTAGATTTCACATTTTAACAACATTCAGTAAATTATAGTTATTTTTTAGTCTTCAGCCTGTCTAAAGTAACCAGAACCCACGATGACACTCTTCAGCTGTTTGAGAAGGTTTGACTAAACATAATTTTAATTACCAGCTCTAGATTTATTTTGGTCACCAGACAGTCATGCTTGTGTTTTGATCAGCGAGCTCCGTATTAGAAACTGTCCCCTGCTAGAAGATGTGTGCCATTGGCTCTCACTGACCGTATCGCCATTAGTTCAGCTCCATGATGTGAAATCTGAGTGTTGGCTTTTAAACATCCCGTTTGTTTCCCGCCTTCCTCTCCCTACGGGGGAGTACAGGACCGTTCAGCTGAAGCGGTCAGCCCTCGGCGCTGATGCTGCTCCTCATAAGTCGTCTGTGAAATGCTTTCTTCTGCTTGGTAAAGGTCAAACTGAACTGCTGTTTGTCCTCCAGCCTGCTGACAGACACAACCTGCTGAGACCAGAAACGGTGGAGAGTCTGTTTTATATGTACAGATTCACCAAAGACACCAAGTACAGAGACTGGGGCTGGGACATCCTGCAGAGCTTCAATAAATACACCAAGGTACAAACCGCTGCTGTTCCTGTCTTAATGTCAGGCCTCCAGCCGTGGCCGCTTTCAGGTCTCAAGTCGTCTCTTGTCCTTTAGATGATCGCTTCAAACTGAATATTGAGCCAAAAGTTCTCCAGTTTTTTCAGAATTTTGCTTCCACTGCTTTTCCTCTAATTTCATACCTGCGCTTTTAAGGTGGAGGCAAAAGCTAAACTCAAGGGATGAGCCAGTGTTGTGTTAAAAGCCCTGTTACCTGCTGCTTTTCACCAAGACATGATTTGTTGTAAAACTTGGCAAAAGCTGGACAGAAGGTAGGAATTTAGTTCCAACAAAGTGCTTCTCCCAGATGTTTGTCAACAACGGTATCTGGTGCACGCTCGCATCTCCTGTGAGGGCCGTTCTCAGGGCTTTTAAAAAGTGCTCAGGGTCATTAAACACGCTTGAATTAATTTGGGGTATTTTCAAGTTTTTAAAGGACTTAAATTTTAATAAGTTAGAAACCGTTACAACCTTATCTGGGGTGCCAGTCAGGTTTCCCTGCTTGAAATGCATTTAATAACAGTTTAAGCGGTTCTAGAATTTAGAACCACCTCTGTGCGTTTCGAGCGTTATCCGTTCTTCCATAATCCGCTGTTGAATTGTGATCGGCAGAAGCTTTTCTGGTTCGCGCCTCACTTTTTTTACAGCAGAGGCCCAAAACGATCTCCTAACACATGGATGTTCTGCTTCCTGATCACGTGACGTATGCGGATGAAGATCGGCTTTAGAGCTGAGATGTTCGTTTTCTCGAACGCAAACCACCACCAGCAGGCAAGGTGGGTGAAGTGTCTTGCTCAAGGACACTACGGCAGCATTCTGTCTCATTCTGAGAAAAGCGGGATTAAGTCGTCATAAACGTAAACACACCTCCTTAAATTAGCATGTCCCAACCCACCTCAACGTCTGCAACGTGACATGGCTAACTGCAGAACAGCGCTACCCTTAGCCACCGCTAACATCCTTGTTGGATGAGAGGAAACAAAGAAGAATGTTGGAGCACACAGAAAGTCCCAGGATGTTCTGGGAATATCCAGACTATGAAGGAATGCCAGAAAGCCTCGTCGAGACTCAAAGAACCGTTTGCTGTTGTTAAAAATAGTTCAAGAGCCCATTTAAAGGTGCCGAATGTTTCAGGCATTTTGGAAGGATGGTCCTGCAACATATTTCATTCATAGCTGGCTGTGGGGATTGTCAGTTTGTCTCCTCTCACAACAAAGGAAGGAGGGACGTGACTACCATTTACCATCAGTGAGTGTGGGGTTGCCGTGTCTCCTGCGAGCTAATGCTGCAGCGCCAACACTTGTAATTTGACCTCGGCCGGCAAAAAGCTCCAGAGTTGTTTAAAGTAGTTTCAGTAACCAAATTTTACCGCGTGATGTCATTTTTATTTTATGTTCATTTCTACATAATGCACCTTTAACCCTCTGGAGGCAGGCGTTAAAACCTACCTACCTGGTTACTCCACACACGTGTTTCATGAGCATTTTTTAACTCAGAAGTTCCCCTGAAGGACTAAAGGTTGGTTTATGCTTGACGCGTCCGCGAGGTCCGCACAGCTCCGCGCGGAAAAGTTGCGTCATTTTAACAACCACGCCCCTCCACCGCGTCTCCGCACGGCCCAAGATTTCCGCAACGCGCACCTCGGAAAATTTCTAACCACGCGAACGGTCGGACGCGGAATAACATGGCGGACCGGCACGGCAGAGGTTCGTAAACACAGACATTTGTATGATTCAGCTCTCAGAGATCACCGTGATCAACATGTTGTTAATAATTCTTGGAGAGAAATAGCTCGCACTGTCGGAAAAGACGAGAACGCTGTTAAAAATGCTGAAATACCATGTTGTAAACAGTGATTTCTACTTCTGCTATGGTGTAGTGTTGGATGCATGCTGTAGAGCCCCATGCTGCCCCCTACAGTTTGGGAGAATATTGGCTCACCGCAGAGACGAGCCACACGAACCATAAACGCTGCGAGTTGTGAAGTGCGTTCCAGCCGCGAGCCGCATCACCGCGCGGAAAGTGAATGCGTCAAGTATAAACCAAGCTTTAGTTGTTCGTCCTTTTATCAAAACTTATTTTGAGCCTTAGAGAGTTAAATAATCACCAATGTAAGGGGCTGGAAAATGTGGAAAACTCCCCTTGGAGGTCTTTGAAAAGAGCTTGAATTTGGTAAAGATTTGGGAGTCCTGAAAGTGGGGGGGGGGATGTCTGTTTGTCCTCCACTTACCTGATTTGATGAGCTGTCGTCATGCAGAAAAAAGGTCAAAAAGTTGAGAGTAAAACCCAGAATGAACTTTGGTTCTGCAGGTTCCTGGTGGTGGCTACACATCCATCAACAACGTCCGCGACCCCATGAACCCTGGACCTCGGGACAAGATGGAGAGCTTCTTCCTGGGAGAGACGTTGAAGTACCTGTATTTGCTGTTCTCCAATGACACGGAGCTGCTCAGCCTGGACAAGTATGTGTTCAACACCGAGGCCCATCCTCTGCCCATATGGCCCACTCCACCTAACTGAGGTCCAGGAACACTGAGCCAGTTTCTCCCGGTCCGGGACCGACTGCTGTTTAAAGCAGACCCACTCTGTTGGCTTTGACATGTGGAGGAACTTTTTTTTTTGTTTTCATAATAAATCTTTCCTAAGGAAAATGTTTGTGACAGAGCTGGTCTCTAATATAAAAACTGTGTGCAGTTCAGACCAGGCTGGCACTTTGCTACACGGTGGGTCGATTCTGGTGGCTTTTCTCTCTTCAGTTCATAAGCTGCATCGTTGTGATGGAAGGATTCATTTTACAGGTGGTTTAATCAAAACTCTGCGATCATCCTGAGCAGAAATGAAGATTAAACATCACATCTTTAAAAAAAAAGACAATTGTAAATTAAATTCTTTATATTTTTCCTGCTGGATCTGGAGGATTCCTCAAAATCAGTGCCTCTAGTTAAGATTACACAGGTGATGATGACGATCGTGTTTCTGATTCACATCTTTATTTATTTAACTCGGCTGGTTTTTGTTTTCTGTCAAGGCTAATCCTGATGTAGACCATTTTTCTGTGATTCAACTCTTAAAATGTGATGAAGTTACTGACTTAACTCTAGTTTACATCACGATTTAGTCTCTTTTTGTTTTGGGGAGCCGTGATGACGTCATTTAAACGTCAAACATCTCAGGATTCTTTGTTCCATGAGGAGTTTGTCCATTTTGTACAATAGAATGGCGCCGGTTTGAAAATCCTCTCCAGTCCTGGAGGTGGTTTAAAGAGCAGCCTGTGTAATCACGGTCACATTGTAGCTCGGTTTAGGAGCGATCCTGAACATAACGTCCAACATTTCTGCCAATTAAACTCTTCTTCAGGAAATCCCGCAGACAAAAATCCATTTGTGGTTCTAGGTATTAATCAAAGTGCAGATGAGATAAAAAGAAATCAGTTCTTCTCGATTGTGGAGGTTAAACTCCCTGCTAGCTACGCAGAGACGGGGTTTTAGTGTTTACAGTCCAGGGGAGGCGGGATCCAGACTACCTGGATGAGGAGGAACGGGCCGTGATGGTGCAGCTATGCCCCGTTCGGGCTTTTGCATTAGCTCAGCAGCATTTATCTAGAGCTGAAGGGAAGAAGCAGCTGAGACAGGAGCAGTCATTTGTGAAGCCTAAAACGGTTTTGAGGGTGTTTTTCATGAGGAAATAACGGTAGAACGTGGTCACGAGCTCCAAACAGCGGATCTTTCATGATAAAGGACCTCATAAGTATTTACTTTCAGGATGGATTTTTTTACAAACCCACAAACCTCCTGCAGGAAGTTTAATGTCAGGCAGCTAAAGCCTGGATCTCACCAGGCCGGCTGCCGGAGACGCAAAATTGAGAGAAAATGGACTTTTTGAGTTTGAGTCAGAATTGTGCTGAGATGTTGCTTAGGTTACTAAAAACTTCAACAGTGGTGTAAAAACTTTGTCCGAATTCAGCCGTCTGAACTGGCACATTTGACTGATTTTAGTCGCAACCTTGTTTTGTTTGCTATCAGTTACACAAACAGATTCTCCAACTGAGCTGGGCGACGAGGAGTTCAAAATCAGGAAAGATCTGAATGTGTCGACAGTCGTCGCACACGAACATGTTTCCGCCCGGACCGTTTTCGATGCGACGCTCTGAGCCCGATCACTTTAGTGTGTATTCATGAAATAAAGTTGTAATAAAGATGTTTACATGGTGATGATTTTAGCTTTAGTCTGGCTTACACCATGATTAGCTTTAGCTCAATGTTAGCATTGCTAGCACAAGTTAGCTTAAGGCAGCTAGTTATTAGTTAAAGCCATTCAGTTTTCTTTTAAGGCCGCTCTAACAGACGGGAAATCGTGTGGTTATATTGTTCAGTAACAAGTTCGTTCAAAAAACTAAATCTAAATGTGATAAGTTCATGATTTCACTGTAAAAAAATCTTGCTCATTTTGCTGTGTCACCAACCCGTACTCCCGAATCACAGAAACTACATTTACAAGAATTCCAAACGTCTGCGGGTTCACTCTTTAGGCAGAACTTCAGCTTGTTTCAGATGTTCTGAACGACACAAATCCCTTTTTTGTTTCTTCAAATACGACCTAATCCGTTTTAACAGCTGGTTCTAAGTCAGACTTGATCAGGCTTTTCCGTCATCAAAGTGAGACAACGTCACAAATCTGAATCAGTGACATCACAAGGGTTACTTCATGTCTATAGACGGGACAAAGGAAGTATAATGGAGGTGTAGTTTAATGTGAACGAATTGGTTTTGAGAGAAAAGTTATGTCCTGTGAGAATGAGGCCCTGAAGCTCATGAGATACTGGTTTTAGTGGTTTTGTTTTCACCCAAGGACCGTAAAGGTCACACTTAACCTGCTTTCACAGCGTGTTTAATTTTGTGCTTCATTGTCGATGTTTAGAATAGAATAAAACATCCACTCTGGGAGTCTGGAGGGTAGGGAGGAGGGGTATTTATAAGTAGTTTCTGCTCATTAAGCAACCATAGACAACTACCGTTTATAAGCTTGACCCTCCCATATAGGGTTCGTGATTATGACATCACCGACACGGCCGCCCCGTTGGCCCCTGTTACTACTGACAGCGGCGCGCTGAGTCTCGTACTTGCAACTTGATTTAATCTCATTCATTTTATCAGTTTTGTTAGGCAAACATGGCAAGTCATTGCTGTGTCGCGGGGTGCATCACATGATCGCCAGGGAAAAAGGTGGAAAACAGGCTAACTTCACTGTTTTCCTGCTTGGGGGCATAACCATGAGAGCAAGTGTCTAACCTAACGAAGCCTCTGTTGGGTTGGATCGCAGCTGTACGGCAACCAAACATCAACTTCCAGAGTGTTTTCATTCTGGTGAGTTACAGATGGTGTACGTTTTTTTTATAAATCATTTCTTTCCTTCACCCCCGACATGCACGCATGCACACACACACACACACACACACACACACACACACACACACACACACACACACACACACACACACACACACGTGTTTTATGGGTTTGTGTGGACTACGTTTTCTGAGTTGTTTGTGTGGACCCTGACTTCCACTATAGCCAGAATGGTGCAAAATTATGTTTAACTCTAGGTGGGACAAAGGAAGCTTCCTCTAGGATTTTGGTTGTGTGGACCGGGTAAATGTCCACACAATGTTGGTCTCCCGTCAGGGGTTGGTCCACACAAACCCATAAAGACAAGTGCACACACACACACACACACACACACACACACACACACACACACACACACACACACGGTAGGCTAAAGCAGGCGCACTGATGCACTATACAACTTCTCCTGCTACACTTTTTCCATGGAAGGGCAATTTTTGATTATTTTACTAGAAAAACCAACAAATGAAATGTTCAGCTCTCATCCGGACATTTACACCCGCTCACACCACAAACAAGATGACTCATCTCCGAGTGCAACGCATAATCACGTGTGATCCCAAGCCCTTTTCCAGTCAGAACAGACAAGGCTCTTAGGGTTGGGGTCGGATCCTGTTTAATCTTTAATCTATGAGAACCGTTTCAGTTGCTGAGGTGTGTTTGAGGAAATCATGATTGATGATGAAACAAACCAAAAATACGACCCAGTCCCCAGGATGTTTTAGGTGAAATCAGATTTTTCAGTTTTAATGAAGTTGAGTTTGTTGCAGGTCATCCTGTTACTTTAGGGCTTTTTATTAAATCACCCAGAGAGCCATACCAACCCAGATCCCTGAGAGGGTTCCTCTGCCAAGGTTCTGCTGTGCCTGTCGGAGTGTAAATCCTTCCAATTGCTGTTTGTTTCTGTTGGGAGTTGTTGTTTCAGGGGAACTTAAATGGTGTTGGCTTGTTTTAAATCTGAATGTTTGAGTGATTGACACACAAAGGAAGGTAAATATTTAGTGTAAATAGTTTCTGAACGTGCTGATCTCTGAGCCTTTCAGGTCTTAATGTTTTGGTCCATCTCGTTCGAAATATTCATTTGGAGTTTTATTCTTTTGTCCAAATCTGACACAAAATCTTCCTGATTTCCCATCAATTCATCACAAACCTGTTCAGCATCAAAGTGTTTAAATGAGTTGAAGCGTGAGCGGAGATGTTTGCTTCTGTTCTCGTTTTATTTTGTAAACGGCTCACCTCATTGACTATCTCACAGTTTTTAACGTGTGTTTTTACAGCTCTGCAGCAAAAGAGGAAAATAAACATTTGTTCTACAAACTTTCATTGTTTTATGGTTTATTAAAAGATGGAGTTGGACCCTAATCAGGGCTGTCTAACATACGGCCCACGGGCCAAACCTGGCCTGCTGGAGGACTTTTGGAAGTAAAAAGCATAAAAAATATGAACTTGAATTCGTAGAAAGATGAACCCGGAGCTCAGAGAGGAGCTGGAGAAAGTTCAGACTAGAAAACGGGGCAGACGAGAAGGTTTCTGAGGAGCTGGAGAACTTTAAACAGCAGCTCCAAGAAAAATCTGAATGAAGAAAAACGGCTTCGACTGAAGCACGACGCTGAAAAACAAAGAAATAATCTGCAAATTGTCATCGGAAGCAGCAGACTGAAGGTTTGTCAGAGAAACTCTGAACTCCGATGTTGGACCCTCAGAACTCTGAGAAAGTTGAGTGACAGGACTTTGGTGGAGCAGCTGGGGAGCTTCAAACAGCAGCTCCAAGAAAAACGTCAGGTTGTGAAAAAGTGGAAACCGATTTAACCAACGAGCACAAACTTGGACTTCAGCCTCACCAGCAGCTTCAGAAGAAACCTGGAAAACCAGTTGGAAGATGAGCAGATGAGACTTCAGTTCAATTCAAGTTCATTTACACCAAATCATGACGAGGCGTCTCGAAGCGCTTCGCACAGTAAACACTCCAATACAGTTGTGATGAAGTCAATAAGAGGGTAAATTGGATTAAATAAATTGCTTAAGAGCTATTTATTTTTATTGTCATTACTTGTGACCCATAGCTGTGATATTCTATTAATTATAGAATATCACCTGCTTGGTCTTTAAGATGATTAGGCAGAAGATTCTAAGACTCTGTTTATTCAGGAACTGTCATCGCTTCGTTTAGGATTCAAGAACCAGTCAGGTTTGCAAACAAACAATTTATTTTACAAACAAGTTAAGACTTGACAAATGGTTTAAACTATTATTTACTGTGAGTGGATGCGAACTAAGATGGGTGTCTGGAACTAGGTGTGAATATAGTATTTCAGAGTCGGTGTCATGAGAAAGCCGAATCCTGGATGGAGGAAATTTGGTTTGCAAGTAAGCTACAAGCTGTTATTTATCAAACTGCATACAGACGCTATCTCACTGAGTTCTACGTACCCAGGTGGAGGCGCCCTTGCGGATCTGAAATGTCAGGGGCGTTGGAGACCCCGAGTACAGAAGTCCGTAGACTAACTCCTAGTACGACCAGGTCGGTCCAGGATCGTTTCCAGGTAACACAGGTGGGCTGGATGGAACCAAGCGCCTCAAAACAACTCTGAAGGAGTGTCGTAAAATCAGCTTTGTTCTGCAGGAAAATGATCTTGTCCTCAGCTTTGCAGGTGCAAAAGCTTAAGGTTGTGACTTTGTCAAAATCCTCCTGGTGAAAGAGGCTCGCTCAGACGGCCGTTCTGAGCTTCTCTCTGTCTGTCTGACTTACTGAGACTGAGTGAAGCTGTTTTTAAGGCCTGGTGTTATCTCAGAAGTTGCCAAGCATCTCAGAACACAGTCTCCGATTCTGAACTCTGAAATGTGCGACAAGGTTACTCTTGTGTCATGTCTTTATCTTAGCCTTACTCTGTCTGCGAGTGTGATGACCTAATCCAGTAAACATACTTGGTATCATTGAAACAGATTCATGAAATATTTCATCATTTATAATTATGCATGGCAATATTTAGTGATTATTAATTATAAAATCTTAGAAGATCTTCTTTTGTTCTGGGAATAAAAGTTTATCTAACAGAGTTCTTGTGAAGGATCCTGGAAAAGAATGCTACTCTCATCTTTCATTATCAAATCAAATCACTTTTATTGTCACGTCACATGTGCAGGTACACTGGTACAGTACATGCGAGTGAAATTCTTGTGTGCGAGCCTCACAGCAACAGAGTTTTGCAAAAATACAGTAATGTAAAAACAAGTAAAATTTAAAAATGGCTAATCTAAGTATACAAATGAATAAAGTAAACAATAAGATAAGATATATGAACTGATGAAGCTTCAGTTCAGCTGATGAAGTCGTCTAAAGAGCCTGCGTGCTGACATTCCATCTCCTGTCAGGGTAAAACACAGCAGAACGTGTGTAGCCAGGGTTATTTGCTCTGGCCGTGCATAGGAACTGTGGGATCTCAAAATCAGTCCATTCGGTGACGTTACACAGGTCAGTTCGTTAAGCCAATCAGTAAACAGTTTCCTATATAAGGAACCCAACAGGTTAAATCAAGTCACTGACTAGTGTCAGAGTCTTTACAGCAATCCTCATACTAAGCAAGCATGCAGCGACAGTGGAGAGGAAAACTCCCTTTTAACAGGAAGAAACCTCCAGAGGATCCTGGCTCAGTATAAGCAGCCATCCTCCACGACTCACTGGGGATCGAGAAGACAGAGCAGACACAGACTTGGTTTGGAAACTGAACTGGACCAAATCAGACATGGTTGAGGTTAATGATGTTAATGATTTTTTTGGTTCTTTTTAAAACACGGGAAAGGTTTTTCTTTGCCTTGCTGACGTACGTTTCGTTTGCCGACTGCAAAACATCGTCAGAGCTGACGCTGATGGTGGCGTCACTTCAAAAGACAAGATACCAGCTGGACTTAGATGTGGAGTCGTTTACGAAATCCCATGCTAACTCTGCTATAAAACATACATAGGAGAAACCGGACGCCAACTCAACACACAAACAATAGAACATAGAAATGAGTGCGAGAAAGAGGCAAGTAGAAAACACACAAGAGCAGCAAAACAAGAAGCAGAAAGTACAATAAAGAAGTCAGCTGTAACAGATCACTGCACAAGAGAAAACCATATAATGGACTGGGACAACACAAGGATCATAAACACCGAACAACAGAAATACTAAAGATGGATCAAGGAAGCAATCGAGATAAGGAGGCGTGGATGTGGGACCATGAACAGGGACGATGGAGTTTACTCGTTGGACCGCACATGGGACTGCATCATCGGAGAGGGGAGAGCGGGCAGCAGAGGGTGACAACGTCCTCTGCTGCCCGCGGATAAACGAAGGAAGTGACGCCACCATCAGCGTCAGCCTGAGGAAGTTTTACAGCCGCAAACGAAACGTACGTCAGCAAGGTAAAGAAAAACCTTTTCTGTGTGTTAAAAAGAACCACAAATGGAACCAGTAACCACTTCCATCTCGTTACAGATGGTAGACGAAAATAAAATAGAATCTTATTTCTGTTTCTCGGTTGGATTTCTGTCGGACCACACGATGGATGAAAGCTTCGGGTTATTCCGATGACTCTTATTGTGAAGGAATAAAACATTTTCTCAAGGCATTTAGCCTCTTCTCCCCTCAACATTCCTGACACCCCGTCCTGTTTCAGCTCCAGCGCTCCTTTGCGTAGGTCGTAGAAAACTTCCAGATTGTCATTTTAGATGAATTTCCCGTTTCAGTGCGACTTGCTGCTGTCGGCATCAGCAGGAGGGATTCTCATCCTGCTTGAAGACTCGTCTGACACGCAGGATGGTGCGGTGTGTTTACTCTGAACCAGTCGTCTGATGCATTGCTGCAGCCCACTGATGTGTTTTTAATGGTTTTGGACGACCATTGAGCTCATTTGGCACAGACTGACTTCATCAGCTGGAGGACATGCAGGTTTTAAACCTCAGACACTCCTGGTGCAGAAAGTCTAGCAGCAGCTACCAGATCAAAATAAATGTATTTAAAGGTTAAAATGTGACACAATTTTACTTAAAATTGTATTTGTCTTTTATGACATGAAGCATTTATTTCACTCAGGTACAAACCTGTTCCACAAAGATTGTAGTTAAACTTTTGAACAACAATGCATTTATATATTCTGGGCAAAGTAATTTTAGATGGTTTTTACATTTAGAAACATCAGAGAAAGAGTAGGATCCTTCATAAAGGAGGTGTTTCATACAGCTGCTTTAGGATTTAGTCCCATAAGATCCAGCAGCTTCAGCTGTGGAACACCAGGGGGCAGAAGAACCAGTCCATCACTGTACTCACGACACCGGAGAAGAGCCCAGGCTCCTTCACAAAGCAGCGATTTACCAGAAGTGGTTTTATTTAGCTAATCAGTCACTGTTTCTGCTCTTTTTGTTACAAACTGATACGAAGGCTGTCTACATCAAAAACACGTAAATAATCTCACTTCATCTCCATAAATCATAATCTGCTCATCCAGTTTCCTCCTTTTAAAAAGGAGTTTAACACTTTGATGCATAATGGTCACTACAGTGGACAGGTACTCAAAATTGTTATTTATTTGTTTTTGCTATTAAGCACAGCTGTTGAAGACTTTATTGCATGTGAGCCCCTCCATTTGGACTTCAGTAAGGCAAGCCAACATATTTCATGCTCAGAATGCACGCTGTCCACTGAAGTGGACATGTAATAAATTATTTGTAAATTATAAAATTTTACAAAAAATATTTGTTGAAATTTGTTTCATTCACACCTAAAGATGAATGAAAAAAATTGTTTCAAAAAATCATGGTTGAATATTTCATAATTCATGCATCAAAGGGTTAAAATGCATAAAGTATAACTCTAAATCATCTCGTTTCCACATCAGAGCAGAGAACTTCCAACTTTGGCTCGCCAACTGCAGGCTACAACCTGACATCCCATAATTACATTTCCTTGTGCTTCCCTTTTGAACAGCTTTTTTGGTCGTTTCCACATTTAAACTCCAAAGCTTCCCTCCAAAAACACAAATGGAACAAACTGGTTAAGCTCACTCAGGTTGGTCTCTCGTGAAGGTGGCAGTAGCTAGTTCGGGTCACCATTTCTAACCTTGAGTAGCTTATTAACGGTGACGTGAGTTGTACTAGTTCTGTGGTCGATACAAAACGTATTTATGAAGCTCTTTACTCTAAATCCTTCTCACATAAAGATGTTTCAGCAGTTTTGTTCTCGACAGTTTCAGTGCCTTCCAGAATGAGCCGTTTCCAGTGCAGTGTTGGAGAAGTCCAGCAAGGTCATTTGTCCACAGCCTGCCTCAGCAATGTCAGAGGTG